ACTAATTTGAATATAAAGTGTAATATGCTGTCATTTCTTGCTTTGTCTCTTCCCCCCCCCCCCCCCCCCCCCCCCCCCCCCCCTCCTTGAGAGACCTGTTCTGTTGTACTGTAGAGCGACAGACAGACATGGAGACGGCTGAGGGTGACCATACAACTTTGTCTCACTTGATCTGTATATAAACAATGCTTTTATTAAAAATAAAAAGCTGTACATATTCAACCAGCGTGTGTTTTAACATGTTTATTGTTTTACCCTCGACGGACCTCGTCAACTTTACATTTCCAATTTGGCCTTTCTCCACTCCAAAAGGCTGCTGACCAAATAACTATCAGAACATGGAGTCAAGACTTTTGACCCCCTTACATTATCATTATATTGAATGTGGGCTCTTACCACACGCTCAAAACAAACTTAAGAGTACATCATTTTAATCTAGGGTCAATTTTAATATTTCACTTCCAGTAGTTCTTGTTTTAGTTGAATTTTCTTGCCTTCATATTTAAAGGCTTTATTTATTTTATTTATTCATGCATTATGTATGTATATATTTATTTATTTTATTCATTTTTCAATCTTTTGTATTTTATTTATAATGTATTACTTCTGTTTCTTAACTAGAATGTGTTTTGTTATTTTATAGCTGAGCTTATGAGTAAATGAGTTCCATATCAAATACAACTTCAATAAACGTTACTTAAAGCAGCTTCTAATGAGTACTAAAACTACTATTTATACATTTTTATTTGCTGTATTTTTTAAGTATTCGTATATGGAAAGTAATGAATCACCCTTAAATGCAAAAAACATCTTAATTTCCGTGTCTTAATAGGTGTTTTATTTTATAATGGCGATAGTGATATCGTAGCATTTGGTTTCGCAGTATTTCACGTCAGTACTTTGAGCTACATCTCTTTAACCACATGCATTTCCTGTAATCTACCTCAGCCTTTGAAAAACCCAGTGGAAAGTTTTGTAGCAGGCAAAAAGTCGCCTTTAAACCACAATGTCCTCCTTCCTTTACACCAGCAACACCTTCTTTTTTTAACACTTTTTTGATCGTGATAAACGCACTTTTTTTTGTCAGAAGCACTTTCCTGCAGACGAGGAGCGGTTTGATATTAACCTCCATCATCACATCCAGAAACATCTCCAGAAGCCACCATGAGGACCAGTCACATCCTCCTGCTCTGCATCCTGGGACACGCTCTATTCGCCTCGGTGTTCTGCAACAGTAAGATGACTTAAGATGTTATTCTTTCAAACATTTTCTGCTACACTTCTCAACTCATTATACTTGTTCTTTCTCCAGATGTTAGTGGTCCTGACGACTGCTGCTTCGATTACCACCCGAGAAGTTTGAACAAAAAGTACGTCCGCTCGTATTACATGACCGACGACAGATGCTCAATGACTGCAGCCGTGTAAGTTAATCCTTACATGTATATGACATAATGACCAGAATAAGCATAATAAGTTAAAAAAACCTTCACAAATGTCCTTTTTCTCATTAAATACAGTATATTTCATACAATAAGATTTTGAGTCTCCATTTCCTACTTTGTATTTGGTTTTAATCTGTTATTTTATCCCCTTTCCTTCCTCCTTTTACTTATTTATTTCAGTCTGATCACGATGAAAGGAGCTACCCTCTGTGTGGATCCGAAGCTTGCCTGGGTTGGGAGGGTCATGACAAGTTTGGACCAAAAGATCTTTTAAAACTCCATGCCCGCTCATCCTTCTTTTAAAGTGCCTGCGCCTTCTGTTGCTTTCAAATGCAATGAGATCATGATTTTGGTGTTAATGTGTAAATCTGTAATGGTTCAAAAGCATCTGACCCCAAATGGATTCCTTTTGATCCTGCATTGGTATATCATATAACCAACCTGTGTTTTTTTGCTATTGCTTTGGTTGCTTTGTATTACCCATACCGTTTCACTGAATAAAGAACAATGTAAGGAATACCGACTCTCCTCTTTTCCTTTGCCCATTAACACTATTACATTGTTGCTGCATGATTACCGACCGTGAGTATTACTTGGAATTAATCATATCATATTTATTATTGTTTTTCTTACAATCTATTTGCATAGTTATAGTATCACAGTAGTAAACAGAGATCATAATGAGGACTCGTATAAAGACCATTACAATCAGTAAAGACGACTAACAATAAAAGCATAAACTGAATGTCTGCCTCTTGTGGCTCATTTCAGGTCTTACCTTTGCAAATAAGAACATTTAGTTTTGGTCAGAATCTAAAATGAGCGAAGAGTACTTGTGGTCATGTCTTCGAAGCCAAATTAACTCATTTGAGAGAATAATGTTCCTTTTTTTGTTCCAACTCGAATCTTAAAACCATCTTAATTTTGTATTGTAATTCATGAAATCTGTTGTCTGGCCTCACAGTCTTCACATAATGATTATGCTGCCACCTTTTGGTACAGCAGTTAGAAATAAGCTTCAGAATATTTACAATCAATTATAGTTCGATACAAATAATACCTCATCTCATTGTCAAATATAGCTTTATTATCATGTGTTTTAAGTTGTGACCTAAACTATAATTTAACAAAAGTCTCATCAAAATTTGTGTAAAAGTGAATCTAAAATAAGGCAAACGTCATCAGAAACACCGAGATTCTTCTTCAAGAGATGATGTCATTTGAACAAATGTTTAATCTGCTGCCATGAAGAGAGATTTACCATTTATAATCTGAGTTGAACACTGTGATAATAACCTAAGAACACGTTTTCTTTATTTATACAAAGCTGCCAACCTACTTTATTCTTGTAAAACCAGAGGTAGAAAAAAGTACTCATATATTGTACTTGAGTAAAAGTAGAAGTACCAGAGTGTAGAAATACTCTGTTACAAGTACAAGTCCTGCATTGCAAATGTTACTTAAGTAAAAGTAAAAAAGTATTAGCATCAAAATATACTTAAAGTATAGCGAAAGTAAAAGGCAAAAAGTCGCCTTAAAACCACAATGTCCTCCTTCCTTTACACCAGCAACACCTTCTTTTTTTAACACTTTTTTGATCGTGATAAACGCACTTTTTTTTGTCAGAAGCACTTTCCTGCAGACGAGGAGCGGTTTGATATTAACCTCCATCATCACATCCAGAAACATCTCCAGAAGCCACCATGAGGACCAGTCACATCCTCCTGCTCTGCATCCTGGGACACGCTCTATTCGCCTCGGTGTTCTGCAACAGTAAGATGACTTAAGATGTTATTCTTTCAAACATTTTCTGCTACACTTCTCAACTCATTATACTTGTTCTTTCTCCAGATGTTAGTGGTCTTGACGACTGCTGCTTCGATTACCACCCGAGAAGTTTGAACAAAAAGTACGTCCGCTCGTATTACATGACCGACGACAGATGCTCAATGACTGCAGCCGTGTAAGTTAATCCTTACATGTATATGACATAATGACCAGAATAAGCATAATAAGTTAAAAAAACCTTCACAAATGTCCTTTTTCTCATTAAATACAGTATATTTCATACAATAAGATTTTGAGTCTCCATTTCCTACTTTGTATTTGGTTTTAATCTGTTATTTTATCCCCTTTCCTTCCTCCTTTTACTTATTTATTTCAGTCTGATCACGATGAAAGGAGCTACCCTCTGTGTGGATCCGAAGCTTGCCTGGGTTGGGAGGGTCATGACAAGTTTGGACCAAAAGATCTTTTAAAACTCCATGCCCGCTCATCCTTCTTTTAAAGTGCCTGCGCCTTCTGTTGCTTTCAAATGCAATGAGATCATGATTTTGGTGTTAATGTGTAAATCTGTAATGGTTCAAAAGCATCTGACCCCAAATGGATTCCTTTTGATCCTGCATTGGTATATCATATAACCAACCTGTGTTTTTTTGCTATTGCTTTGGTTGCTTTGTATTACCCATACCGTTTCACTGAATAAAGAACAATGTAAGGAATACCGACTCTCCTCTTTTCCTTTGCCCATTAACACTATTACATTGTTGCTGCATGATTACCGACCGTGAGTATTACTTGGAATTAATCATATCATATTTATTATTGTTTTTCTTACAATCTATTTGCATAGTTATAGTATCACAGTAGTAAACAGAGATCATAATGAGGACTCGTATAAAGACCATTACAATCAGTAAAGACGACTAACAATAAAAGCATAAACTGAATGTCTGCCTCTTGTGGCTCATTTCAGGTCTTACCTTTGCAAATAAGAACATTTAGTTTTGGTCAGAATCTAAAATGAGCGAAGAGTACTTGTGGTCATGTCTTCGAAGCCAAATTAACTCATTTGAGAGAATAATGTTCCTTTTTTTGTTCCAACTCGAATCTTAAAACCATCTTAATTTTGTATTGTAATTCATGAAATCTGTTGTCTGGCCTCACAGTCTTCACATAATGATTATGCTGCCACCTTTTGGTACAGCAGTTAGAAATAAGCTTCAGAATATTTACAATCAATTATAGTTCGATACAAATAATACCTCATCTCATTGTCAAATATAGCTTTATTATCATGTGTTTTAAGTTGTGACCTAAACTATAATTTAACAAAAGTCTCATCAAAATTTGTGTAAAAGTGAATCTAAAATAAGGCAAACGTCATCAGAAACACCGAGATTCTTCTTCAAGAGATGATGTCATTTGAACAAATGTTTAATCTGCTGCCATGAAGAGAGATTTACCATTTATAATCTGAGTTGAACACTGTGATAATAACCTAAGAACACGTTTTCTTTATTTATACAAAGCTGCCAACCTACTTTATTCTTGTAAAACCAGAGGTAGAAAAAAGTACTCATATATTGTACTTGAGTAAAAGTAGAAGTACCAGAGTGTAGAAATACTCTGTTACAAGTACAAGTCCTGCATTGCAAATGTTACTTAAGTAAAAGTAAAAAAGTATTAGCATCAAAATATACTTAAAGTATAGCGAAAGTAAAAGGCAAAAAGTCGCCTTAAAACCACAATGTCCTCCTTCCTTTACACCAGCAACACCTTCTTTTTTTAACACTTTTTTGATCGTGATAAACGCACTTTTTTTTTGTCAGAAGCACTTTCCTGCAGACGAGGAGCGGTTTGATATTAACCTCCATCATCACATCCAGAAACATCTCCAGAAGCCACCATGAGGACCAGTCACATCCTCCTGCTCTGCATCCTGGGACACGCTCTATTCGCCTCGGTGTTCTGCAACAGTAAGATGACTTAAGATGTTATTCTTTCAAAACATTTTCTGCTACACTTCTCAACTCATTATACTTGTTCTTTCTCCAGATGTTAGTGGTCTTGACGACTGCTGCTTCGATTACCACCCGAGAAGTTTGAACAAAAAGTACGTCCGCTCGTATTACATGACCGACGACAGATGCTCAATGACTGCAGCCGTGTAAGTTAATCCTTACATGTATATGACATAATGACCAGAATAAGCATAATAAGTTAAAAAAACCTTCACAAATGTCCTTTTTCTCATTAAATACAGTATATTTCATACAATAAGATTTTGAGTCTCCATTTCCTACTTTGTATTTGGTTTTAATCTGTTATTTTATCCCCTTTCCTTCCTCCTTTTACTTATTTATTTCAGTCTGATCACGATGAAAGGAGCTACCCTCTGTGTGGATCCGAAGCTTGCCTGGGTTGGGAGGGTCATGACAAGTTTGGACCAAAAGATCTTTTAAAACTCCATGCCCGCTCATCCTTCTTTTAAAGTGCCTGCGCCTTCTGTTGCTTTCAAATGCAATGAGATCATGATTTTGGTGTTAACCCTATGCTATGGCATGACTTTTTATTTTGGGAGGAAAAAAATGTTTCACCATGTATTTTAGGAGCTTAGGGGTCCCTGATATTATATCAATTATAAAATGTGACCCCCCCGAACCCCCCAACCAGGGGTGGGTTTGTTGCCTCAGGGCAACACTGCGCAACAAGGGTATTGAAACACCAAGGATTTCTACAATTCAGAAGAAATAGAAAAAACAACTCTGTATGAATTCATAAGGTTTTATTTGTTTTAAATAACCACAACTAGCTACAACATATAACAGGAACACATTAAAAACATAACAAATAACATTTCATATTAACCAGTGTGTGTGTGTGTGTGTGTGTGTGTGTGTGTGTGTGTGTGTGTGTGTGTGTGTGTGTGTGTGTGTGTGTGTGTGTGTGTGTGTGTGTGTGTGTGTGTGTGTGTGTGTGTGTGTGTGTGTGTGTGTGTGTGTGTGTGTTACAGTATGTGTGTGTGTGTTACAGTATGTGTGTGCGTGTTACAGTATGTGTGTTTTACAGTCTGTGTGTGTGTGTGTGTGTGTGTGTGTGTGTGTGTGTGTGTGTGTGTGTGTGTGTGTGTGTGTGTGTGTGTGTGTGTGTGTGTGTTACAGCATGTGTGTGTGTGTGTGTGTTACAGTGTGTGTGTGTGTGTGTGTGTGTTACAGTATGTGTGTGTGTGTTACAGTATGTGTGTGTTACAGTCTGTGTGTGTGTGTGTGTGTGTGTGTGTGAGTGTGTTACAGTATGTGTGTGTTACAGTGTGTGTGTGTGTGTGTGTGTGTGTGTGTGTGTGTGTGTGTGTGTGTGTGTGTGTGTGTGTGTGTGTGTGTGTGTGTGTGTGTGTGTGTGTGTGTGTGTGTGTGTGTGTGTGTGTGTGTGTGTGTGTGTGTGTGTGTGTGTGTGTTACAGTATCTGTGTGTGGCTATTATTCTCACTCTGTGTGAAACCTCAGGAAGCAGTTGCTTGTGGATATGAAGCAGAGGTGCACATCACATTTCCGGCACTTGGCTTTGGGTGTGCCTGTGCACCCTGGTACCTTGCATCTCCCCTTCTTTTCATCCATTACCATCCAGTGCGCTGTGGCATCCAGGCGAACAGCAGGGATCGGAATCGGAGTTGCTGGTCCTTTTCTTCTCTTCTCCTCATACTCACCAGCAATTGTGAGACTGGGACGACCTCTCTTGCGTTCCAGACTCTTTCCACTCTTTTGCAGACCTTCAGCAATGTATGATTTGAAGGTATACAGCCTCATTTCTTCCTTCCTGGTCATGCCTGTGCCTTCACAATCTCTTCTGTAGAGCAGCCAGGCCGTCACGATAATCATGTCCATGAAGTGAAACACCAGCCGGTGATACCACTTCTTTGATCTGATTTTGATCCGGTACAGTGCAATCAGTGAGTCAAGCAGATCGACCCCACCCATATTCTTGTTGTATTCCTTTACAACAGCAGGGCGGGGGACATTCATGATGAGCTTTTGCTTGCGATCCCATCTTTCAACTTCATTGACAGGGTACGCTCCAGCGTAATCACTCAGAAGGCTAACTGTACGGTTATCATACCACTTCACAACATGCAATGTGGTTTCTCCAACAATGGCCATCTTCTCTTCAAACGATCCACGTCCTTTTTTCTTTAGCTCAGCATCGCACTTTAAGTTGACGCCGGGTAGTCTGTTGCAACGAACAGTACCAATAGTGTGAATCCCCTGCTGAGCCAGTGTGAGCACAAGGGGGACACTTGTGAACCAGTTGTCGAAGAAGAGTTTGTAGTTCTCTTGCTTGGGTATAGGCTGAGCCAGGCGGAGGACAACATTGCCACTTGCTCCAATATCTGCTAGCTCAGGGGGGTGTACCGCTCTCCCTGTGTAAATTTCGAAGTTGTGCGGGACACCATCAGAGCCGGCCAAGACGAGTATTTTGTAGCCCCATTTTTTGGGCTTTGATGGCAGGTATTGCTTCAGTCTACTTCTTCCCTTGAATGGGACCATCTGTTCATCAACTGCCAGCTTCTCACGCATTGGGATCGACTTCAGTTTGGAGATTAGGTGAGTGACAAGTGGTCGGATCTTGTGTAATGGATCATTACCTTCCTCCTGCCTGTCTTCATTGTTGCTGAAGTGAAGGTATTTTTTAATGGCCTCCCATCTATTCAGGGTCATGGTGTCAGCTACTTGGGACACTCTGCAGGCTTTGTTCCAAAACATGCGGGTCCTTGGTAAACCAAACAGTGACATGTACACAACAGTTCCCAGGAACTGCTCTAACTCTTTTGTTGTGAGGTTTAGGGGCTTGTTTGGGTTATTTTGCATTGCATATAAATTGGACTGCTGAACAATGCTTTCTAGAATGTCTTCAGAAAAAAACTGCTGGAAATACTGGAGGGGGGAGAGGATTTCATCACTTCTCGATACACCCTGCCATTCTGGGTAAGGATTGCAGGATGGATTGTGGACTGTTTTCCACCGAGGTGGGCCTGGATTAGCAACTTCGACTACATCTTCATCTTCATCTTCCTCTTCATTGACAGACTCAGTGTCATTTTCAATAGACATGCCTTCTCCTAATAGCACACAGGAAGCACAAATAGAAACACACATTTGAATTTGTTATTTACCCTTTTTTCATCCAATATGCTTGCCAAATAAACACACACACACACACACACACACACACACACACACATACACACACACACACAGACACTAGTACTCTGCTGAATGATACAGACTGACACCTAACATAACTATTTTTTCAAACCTGATTCAGGGATCCACTCTTCCTGACTATCTTGACCTTCACTGTCCTCACTCTCACTCCCATCAAGCTCACTGTCCTCACTGTCAGATGGAATAGCCCTAACAGCCTGATCGTTTCCCTTATTCCCATAAAAGGTTTTGCTGTCCATTTCCTGTAAATATCAGTAGATCAGTAAAGTAAAAACATTGACTAGGTTTATCATTTTACAGCTAAGCACATTTTTACACTTGCATGATATTGCCTGGAAAAAAGTGGTCTTAGTGGCACAGTGTTGCCCTGAGGCAACGAACAAAAAAACATAGTTTTAGCTAATTAATAAATACATAATAAGTCTTTAAACAATCAAATATACTTCTTTACGTATTCATGCACATGCATGTATTTTTTATTTTAATTGGTGTACATTTCTAATATGTTAAAAAGTGAAATGTATCTTACCAAGTGGTGGCCCTGAGTGCCCTGCAGCTTTGCTTGCAGAAAGGACTGCTCCGCCCCCAGACAAAATGCCACACCCATATAATTCCCTCATTTTATTGGACACCAGCATGTCAGGTGACATTGTGTATATTCAAAAAAATAAAAATATTTAGTGGGCCAGTGTGAGGTCGAAAAAAGTGGTTTGTTGCCTGAGGGCAACAGTATGCCATAGAGGGTTAATGTGTAAATCTGTAATGGTTCAAAAGCATTTGACCCCAAATGGATTCCTTTTGATCCTGCATTGGTATATGATATATAACTCGAATCTTAAAACCATCTTAATTTTTATTATTCATCAAATCTGTTGTCTGGCTTCACAGTCTTGTAAAAATGTAAATGTTTATATATTTTGTGTTACGCATAGATTTTTATTTATATTTTACACAACTCCCCTTCTCTTTTAAGCAGCTGTTTTCTGTCATATAATATTATATACTGTCCAAATTATTGCATTAAAAATAGCAAAACACAAATTGCACAGAATGTCATTTGATGCAATATTCTACCCTAGGCTGCTAGAGTGTGCAGCTTTAGAAATTCTGGCATTTGTTAAACGTCATAATGATTATGCTGCCACCTTTTGGTACAGCAGTTAGAAATATTTACAATAAATTATAGTTCGATACAAATAATACCTCATCTCATTGCTATTTCTAGTTTTGTCAAATATAGCTTTATTATCATGTGTTTTAAGTTGTGACCCAAACTATAACTTAACAAAAGTCTCATCAAAATGTGTGTAAAAGTGAATCTAAAATAAGGCAAACGTCATCAGAAACACCGAGATTCTTCTTCAAGAGATGATGTCATTTGAACAAATGTTTAATCTACTGCCATGAAGAGAGATTTACCATTTATAATCTGAGTTGAACACTGTGATAATAACCTAAGAACACGTTTTCTTTATTCATACAAAACCTGCCAACCTACTTTATTCTTGTAAAACCAGAGGTAGAACAATTACTCAAGTATATTGTACTTGACTAAAAGTAGAAGTACCAGTGTGTAGAAATACTCTGTTACAAGTAAAAGTCCTGCATTGCAAATGTTACTTGAGTACAAGTAGAAAAGTATTAGCATTAAAATATACTTAAAGTAGCAAAAGTAAAATTAGTCATAATATATATGATATGTTTTATAATGATTGATCATTAAAGTGTTCTCAAAGCTGGTAAAGGTGCAGCTAGTTTGAATGACTTTGTATACTGCAGGGTAGCTGGTGGATTTACTCCAGGTGGAACTAAAGTCTGATTTAACACTTGATTATATTTCACATCATTAATCCAAATCCAAAGTAACTAAAGGTATTAAATACATGTAGTGGAGTAAAATTACACCATTTATCTCTGAATTGAAGTGGAGTAGAAGTACAAAGTAGCAACACATTTAAATACTCAAGTAAAATACTAGTATCTCAACATTGTACACTATAGTAGGCTACCTAGGTACTTTACACCACCCGGTAAAACATATAACTTTCATAAACTCATACCGAATCCAATTGTTAAAATACAACATGAGCAATTGTGTCAATAGAAAAAGTGGGGGGTCAAAACCCTTATCCTGATCAGATCCTGATGATACTCTCTATGACGCCATTGCTGCGCGACGGACTTGTTGTAGACATGAGAGCGAAAAATCTGCAGTGATCCGGCTCAGCGCATCTCGTTCTTTTTCACTTCTTATAGATTTTCGTGTCGATTTCACACAGATCTCTGTCTGCAATCTATACTTAATGTTTAGTGTTTAATTTGTTCGTTGAACCGGAAGACCTAAAATAAATCAAAGTTCTCAAGGAGGTAACATCTGGCTCCTGCACACCTGACTTCATTGAATGAGGTTTAACGTAAATTAGCATTTGTTTTGGTTCGATACCCTGACTAAATTAAGCACGCCCAACATTCAGTTGGAAGCAGCTGGACACACATTCATATAAATCTGCAGTCCAACGGTAAGCATATAATATGAACACCTAGCTTTGGAAGCACTACAGTAAAGCCGGGCGTTTTATTTTGTTGTTGCTAACATGGCAGCTCCCTTCTAGCTAGCTAACGACAACATAGCTAACCAGCTAACATGCTAGCTAGCATAGACAACGGATTATTGGAGAGCTATGGTTATTTCAGTTGGTTATAAATGGTGTTGCGGGGGCTTCGGATAGTTATAGTTACATACAAAACACAGTTTGCAGTTAATTGGGTTTTTATTTCGGTTTTAAGTGCTGAAACTGTGACGGTGATGCTGCTAGCGCTAAATGCGAACAAGCTAGCCTGGGTAGTGACTATTTCCTGCACCGGACATAATTGTCCCCTTCATAGAGCAGTTTTTAAAAAAGCATATCCCCTGCAGCAAATTATGCACTTTAATAAAAGCTAATTCGCCCATTTGCTTAGTTATACTCGTACTCAGTGTAGCTAGCAGGCTAAGTTACATATCCGCTTTCCGACCAGGTGCACATGGTGACGACAGTCCCGGTGTTACAAAGCTGCTCTGCTGTAACACAGCCATATGCATCCGAATGAAATGTGTATAATGTAAACCAAGTGTTGCTTGCTAAACGCTTTTCCTATGTCAACAAGAACAATTAGGTTTAATTAACTTTTTAAGCAGGTATTATTTATGCACATTATCAATTGTCCGTTGGAAGGTCATAGGTCATTCTTATTTACATTTCGTAGTAAAGTGTTGCAATTTCCCGCTTGTTGTTCCAATTGCAGCCCTGTCATTATAGAGCATGAAGGGTACTTTGCAGAGGTGGAAGAAGTACTCAGATCTTGTACTTGAGTAAAAGAAGAAGTACCAGAGTGTAGGAATACTCTGTTACAAGTATAAGTCTTGCAATCAAAATGTTACTCAAGTAAAATCATGAATCAGCATAAAAATATACTTAAACTACCAAATGTAAAAGTACTCATTGTGCAGATTGGAGTAAATCTACTCAGTTACTCTAAACCACTGCTGAGGTGTAATGTGCCCCAACCTTACTCCACAGCTCAGAAGGATTATCTGATACCCACGGATATTTTTTTATCTTAAAGGGACTTTGATTATGTCACAGTTGTTTTTCTGTCCACTTCTACATGTAAAAATGTTATCTACTGCTGGATTTCAGGTCAATTATTGGTTTCCCATTTTCTCCTAAGGCAGCTGATTTTAAAAGATGTTTCCTCTTACCCTTCGTTTAATCACATGGTGTTTTAATTAGAACACTTGATTTTCATTTTGTGGTGATGAACATCATTTAGGAGAAACATGGCACAACTAAATCTTATAAATTACCAATATGACTAGTGTGGAGCATGGCGGATAACCTTTTTTAACATCTGCATTTTTAGAGAAAGTAAAGTAAACTGTGTTTGTGGTCTGCAGGTGACGAGCTGGCGCAGGTTGTGGGTTGTCCGTGGACAATGCGAGACAGTGGCGGTAGCCTGGCCCAGAACCGCTGGCAGGGTGACCTGGGTCTGACCGCTGTGGGGCAGGACGACACTGGAGGAGGTGGGGTTTTTATCAATCGTTAATGTTTACATTCCTGCTAGCTGCATGATCATTTATTTTTATTACACAGCTCAGTTGAATACCAGATTCTGGAACTGCAACAACTTAACTTAAAAGGAAGGTTTTCTGTGTCCAAGTCTACTCACATTTTAGTTTGTACATGCCCTCTCTCCCTTGATCATCCTTAGCAACAGTCATTATTTTGCTTAGTAGCGCTGTGTTATCGAGTATTATTTCACGGCTTGGTTGAATACTTTTCAGAGTTTGTTAATACTCGAACACACCTCTGCTAAGCAAAATAATGACCTTTCTGCATATTATCCATTAACATTTTCTTTTAATGCAACTGTATCATAATGAAAAAAGGAAATCCCAGTTTTGTACAGAACCTTTTTTTTAAAGTCACACTATGATCATTTAAATACTAATTGTTATTCATTTTGTATTATTTTTAATATCTCAAATTCAATCGCAATTGCATTGCAAGTCAATATAATAATATGAAGTAAAGTTGTGCAGTCCTAATCGGATATCACAATACACAATTACTTTTTCTAAGTGTATATTATAACAAGCACATTATAACTCAAATTTGAAACAAAAACGTCAGGTTTTAGACGGCATGTGTTCGGTAAAATGAACCATAGTATTATTTATAAAAAATTCTAACCCAAAAATGTAATATTTTTTGGGAAGAAATGCAGCTGATGATAGTCAATGTTTGTATCCAGGTGGGATTCCTGGGGACCACCTCATCGTCCCAGTGTCGGGCCACAGCGTACCCAGCCCCATGCACCTCCGACTGGGGCAGAAAGAGAAGGTGTGGACGGGCGAGTATGTGGAGGAGGAGGATGAGGAGGATGGCATTGTTAGGATCAAGGCAATGGGTGATGAGGAGGAAGATAACAATCTGGATGGCGAGGACGAGTTAGAGTTTGAGGGCAAGGGCTGGGAAAACGAGGAGGAGGAGGAGGAAGAGGAGGAGGAAGATGAAGAGGAGAATGATGAAGAGGAGCCGGAAGATGGCGGAGACCAGGCGCCATTGGAGTGGGAGATCCCAGACTTTCCCTCCCAGTCCAGCGAGCTCCCTCACTCACACCTACACCACCATGGACCACAACAGAAGGCACAAGATGGTGACGACGTCGCCGGGGGCGCTGCCGCCTCCCAGGCCGAGGGGGGTGACGTGTTCCGGCCCCCCCTCAGCAGGTACCGGGTTCAGAAGAGGCGCTGGCAGCGTTTGAGGACCCATCGAGGCCTGGGCTTCCGGCTCACCAGGCACTGGAAGAGCTGGCGTCAGCGGGCGCAGTGGGTCTGCTCCCAGGGGCTCCGCTACCGGCAGAGAGCGCACCACCTGTACGGCAAGCAGAGGAGGACAAAAAGGTACCAGCAGTCTCCGTACTCTGACGGAGAGGAGGACAGCAACGACGAGATGTTCACAGACTCTGAGAGAGGTACTGATCGTTCACTTCTAACACACGTACTGAATATGTTTCAATGGCAAGGTTCTTTGTTTTTCTTAATACAAACAAATCTAAATCAAACTAATTGCATGTAAAGACCAAATCAACCAACAGTGTTTCCACCAGGAACTTTTTCAGGGTCAGAAGCCAAATGTCTTTTTTGTGTTTTGGGTGCTGTGCTAATCTTGTTAGAGCGGTTTGTCACTAAAATCTGAAATTTGGGGAGTTAACATGCAATACAC